CGTTGGCTTCTCTTCTGTGCCATCTCCCTTTCCTAGCGTTTTCATCAAGGGATAAGGAAGGGCTAACTTCATGGCTGGAAACCTTTCAGGGCAGGGGCCGTCTTTGTTTTCGGTGCTGGTAACGTCATGCATGTCCTGCCTGATAGACTGGAAACGAGGACCACCAGCCGTTGGTGTCTCAGATGTGTACGTTCATAGAGGCAGTGGTCCCGCAAATCGTAGCGCAGGAGTGTGCCACTGCAAAATTAACCTCATAACTAGCAGGATGGATGAGAAAACTCACACTGCAGGATCACGAGCTGAGTATTATATGAATAATAATGATGTTGCAGGGCATCTTTCCCCTAATGCCCGGCTCATCTTCCATGTATCTGTTAAAGAATAAAAGCAGCTGCGTACCAAATTATGGCAGGGGAGAGGGAGACCGCCATCGCCGTTGAAACCATTCCAACGCACGGACACGATGGTAACACCTTCTCGCTTGTGCCACTTGGTGGAGCTTAGTGATTTTGGCTATCACATACATCGTTTCGCAAACTTACTGCTTGATTACACAATCAGTTGTCAGTGTATCCTGACAACGGACAAACCCCTACTAAGGAAGCAAACCCAAAAGTGTACCGTAAGTTCTAACAAACAAGATGCTGATTCCTAGCTGCTAATGAAATTGCTAATCATCCCTTCTCCTCTTGAAAGCAATAACATATATAGTGTTTTAATTCTTTAAAGAAAAATTTAAAATACGGGCTTAGGATCTTGGTATTTATGATACACAGGATGAGAGATGGGCAGAATTATGTCATGTTTGGTCTATTTTTCAGATTTAAAGTAATGTTTTAAATTTAAAATTTTATTTTTCCTTGCAGAATTTTGGCAACATGCACATGTACCTGGGTGACAGATCTCACATTTGTTTGAATGTATGCTTTTCCTCAACAAGCATGAGAACAGTGAGCAGAACAACAGTGAAATGCGCAGATAATTATATCATGCCCTGGTCCTGCCTTCACTGAAATCAATAGCTAGTCAGGTCAATAAAATCAGAATTGGGACCTTGGCTAATTATGTGCTCAGCCTGTCTGGAAATGCAGGATGTTACCCCAGTTTGACGCTGTTATCGTCTAAACTAGCTGTTGTTAAATATAATTTGGTTGGTCTACAAATCTTACTCAGTCCTGATTTTGAATGTTTACTTAATACTTCCTTTATTCTAAATTATCAAACAAATCATACTGTCAGAGTAATGCTATCTGGTGTCTTGCGGATACTGAATTTTCACATCAGAATCTGAACTTCAGACCGTGGAGTTTGGTACCCAAAGTGAGATCTGTTGCTTTCATGTTTGTAGGTATGTTGTAACTAGCAGGTCTTGCTGATTCGTCCTAAATCCCTTCTAATGCAGGATGGCTACTGTCTAAGCAGAGTCGCGAGAAATAAAGGTTCCATATGTGGTCTCTTTGCTGTTGTTAGTGAAGAGAAGGAAAAGGAACGGAGGACTCAATCCTGAAATCTGCTGTCTGCGGTCTTAGGTGTCTTCCTGGGTAGACAGCATAGGAGCAGCAATGGTTTTTCTGGCTTCCTCTCACAAACTGGAAGTGGTAACTGTGCAGCTTCTTTTCACCGTGGTATTGCCCAAATTAATTTTTCTTGTGTTGGACTGACAGATGCGAAGGAACTTTTTGACATAGCAATGTACCACAGATATTTATCCAATACTGAAAACTGGCAGTATATCAATGTCCTTCTGGTGTGGCATTTTGCAAGGGATGAGGGGAAGCAAAATTCCGTTAGGAGCTCTTTAAGCAGCTCAGCGCTGGCTGTCACCCTCTGTAACACACATGTACCTGTGGCTAGTGTTCAGTAGCACTTTTTACAAGAAAAAAAGCAGCGCGAGTAATTCTGCCCTGGAAAGACAATGCAGCTTAAATTGACTTTTTCAGATGCTTACAGGGGATCTAGCAGAGAGAAGAGCAAGATTTTACTACGCAGCCACCTATGTCTGCATGTGATGACACTCATGCTGTGCTTGGCTGCCTCTCTTGTATAGTCCACACTCCTTGTCCATGTGCTGTTTCCATCGATGGACCTCTCCCATCCAGATCATATTGCATATTTTCCAACGGTCCCCTAGCATTCCAGCAGCCCAGTCAGGACTGAAAGGCCAGATGGCCTGTACCTCTGTCACCTTGGGCACGTGGAAAGCTCCTTGTCCTTCTCGTGACTCCTTAGACAGGCTTGGAGCTCCGCGTGCCTGTGTGGTGACACCTCTTGGGAAGTCAACGGTGTATGCTACTTACTCAAAGGTACTTAAGGATGAAGTGCCAGTGAGCGAAATAGGAGACTTCTGCTGAAGAGGGTGGGGGATGAAGACTGTTTGGAGCACAGGTGTTGACTCTTCAGGTGTTTTGCTTTCATCCGTGTGTGACACAGTCTCTATATTACTTACATGGTTCACCTTTGCATATATTTTTTTTAGTTCAAGTTAATGCCATAGTAGATGTACTTCCGACTTTTGACTGTTGATCTTAGCGGTGAGTTCAGTCGCTGGAACCAGCCAGACGAACGGATGCGTTCCTCACGCCACACTGCTCGTTCTTACTCTTGTTTGCAAAAGGAACCCAGTCACCTGAATGCTCACTGCATGAAGCGAGGTTTTTGTGCTAAGGTTATATATTCTCATCACTTCTTCAATTCGTAGGAAAAAAAGGGATCAAAGAGCTAAGTACAAGAAGAAGCATCGTGCAGGGACGAGACCAGCTGATGTGCTTCTTAAACATGGAAGAACTTATGCCGCATCTTTTATGTTAGGAGGAATAACGGCATTGTCATTACGTCTTAAACCTGCCTGTTTTGCCACATAATATGTTAGACAGGCTCTTTGATAAAATACGGCTCCACGCTGAAAAAAAAAAGTGAAGGCTATTCACTCACTCAACATAAACGTTAGTGTTTTGGAAAGTCCTAACTGTGCTATGAAGTGCCACGTTTGACTCACTGATTTGGTCTATTTTGTGCTGTTCCTTATTTTGCTCTAATCTTTACTTCACTCTACCCAGCTATTTTATTTTAATTAGAAAGGTACTGCAGGCATCGCAGCAGCAAATAGCACAAGAAGAGGGAGAGAGGTTTTAAAAAACGCCAATGTGCTGTTTGAACTCTTGCAATCCTCGTGGCCACACAGAAGCACTGGGAAACGAATTGCATAGTTCATTTGAGTTTATTGCAGGCTCGAAGCCATCATTTCCTGGCAAATAAAAGCAGATAAATAATTAAATATGAACTTTTGAATTACATAGTAATTCTAAAACAACTATTAATCATCGGTCAGATTTGGAGTGGGAAAGGTGATAGCCCACGGGTCTAAAAAATTCCTTCATGAACTGGCGTGGAGAGATGACGCTCTGCGTAAACCACACGGAAATCCAGAGTAACTGTGGGCTGTCACTTCGCTGGCTCAGCTGCCCGTCAGCTCCCCGGGGCACGGCTGCTTCTTGGGCAGGGGCGCAGGGAACCCACCTCAATAAATCCATGAAGCAACGAAGATGCTGCCCATTAACTTCTCTGCAGCACCATTAAGTTTGTCTGTTTTAAAGAACCTGAGAGGTAACGCTGCAGCGTATTGTTATGGGCTATATAAGCTACCACTAAAATCTGTAGGAATTAAACCCATTTTGCGAGTGTAAGAGTGCAACATGTGTTAGAACGGCGCATTGCACCAGCGTCATGCTTGAGGACAGACCGACGGAGCTGGTCCCCTCCCGAGGCGGGTGGTGCGCGCCTTGCCCACCGCTCGCTGCCCGGCTCGCGGGGCCTGCTGGGACAGACAGACGGCCTGTTCCACGCCTTGGTGGTGAGTTGGTGTTAACTCAATGACTTGAACTATTGTGTCTACAAACAAATAGTTAGAACAGAATACAGATGACCTAACTGAGCATATATTGTGAAACTGAGTATTTAAATTATTGTTATTGTTCTTTTAAAGAAAACACAGTTATTACGTAACCCTGCATTAGGGCCAGTAGCGCATGAGGAGTGCCAAGGGCACGCCCTGGGTGCAACCGAAAGTAGCTCTCTATAGGTGTTTGACCTGTTCTTAATCAAGTTATATAAAACCCAAGTTAATAGAAAACCGGAGGCCAATATAAATGTTTCCACAGTCCACTGCAAACATTTATTTTACACAAATAAAAAATTTCACAGTATCTGAGAACCCAAAAATTGAGCTGTTAACATGGAGAACTGGACTTAACTTCCTCACTCAAGACTAACAAATACAGAAAGAAAATGGAATCACAGAATCATTAAGGTTGGAAAAGACCTCTGAGATCACCAAGTCCAGCCGTCACCCCAACCCCACCATGCCTGCTAAACCATGTCCTGAAGTGCCACATCCCCACGGTTTTTGAACCCCTCCAGGGACGGGGACTCCCCCACTGCCCTGGGCAGCCTGGTCCAATGCCTGACCACTCTTGC